GCTGTCTCGGAGGCTACTGTCGGGATTGAAGTTGTGGTTGTTGCTGTGGCCGCTGCTGCTGTAATCGGTCTGGGCAGTATTGAATGGAATGACTGGGTCTCCGGCAATGATAGCAGACATTCTGTCCAGCAAGACACTCGCCACGATGCATACGTCCACAGGTGTGACATGGTGAGACTTGTTGCCGATTGGCTGGACCTGTTCGTCTTTGCCTGTCTCTCCGATCGTACTGGGACCTCTCCACTTCCTCTTGCCCTTGTTTCTCGCCTGTTGGAGAGGCACTGGCTGTGCTGATAGCAATGGGGATGGCTGAGCAACAGGCTGTATCTGGGTCTGATCAACACCCATCCGGATACTAGCATCAACCTCCTGACCAAGAGCAACAGTGTCGGCATAAGACCCGAGACCATGCCCAGCTACATGGTGGCGAACCTCTGGTCGAAGTCCGTCACGAAAACGCCTCGATCTCTTCTTCTCCGTATCCACTAGAGAGGTAGCAAAGGATCCGAGTCGAGTAAACTCACGTTCATACTCGTCAACTGAACGAGCACCCTACTTTAGCGCCAGAAACTGACGCTCCATCTCAGCTTCATAATAATTAGGATAATATTTCTCGCGTAAACTCTCCTTGAACTGAGTCCATGTGCAGTTTTCTTTCTAACCAGGACACATGCCCCAGTAAGAGTTCCACCATATACGTGCGTCACCAACCATCTGGAGTTGGGCATAAAGTATACGAAGCCGTTCAGAACAATCCATGACCTCAAAAATCATCTCGAGGCCCTGGGTCCATTCATCTACAAGTCTAGGATCTCCCTGACCAAAAAACTTCTCAGGATTGTAGTCACGAAACTGGGCGACTACAGTCGACTGTTGCACTTTGTGATGTTCCTGGTCTCTACGACGTGCCATCTGAACAGACACACGTACAATTTGATCAAAACAAAATATAATATAACTGAAAAGGTGTTAATTTATTAATAAAGCCCAATTTCCTGACGAGTCACTAAAATTAACTCGATAAACTTAATATCAACTAGACTTCTCACTTCTGATTTAAATCTAATACTGCTAAAGGAATTTCTATTACTGATTTGAGCATCTATACTGATTCTGAAATATGGATATCTGACATCCTACTGAGCATAGACTTAGTAAAATTTGCATATAAATAAATTTCAACAGTTACCTGATAGTCGGGGAGGCGTGAGCGTGGTGTGGTCGGGTTTTCTGAAAACTTTCTGACTTACTAAAGTATTCAGATACACGAAATCATGCTCTGATACCAACTGTAACACCCCGCTAACTTACTAGTATCAGAGTAAAATTTTCGCAACTTATTTCGAAAATACATATAAATTTTTCGAAATCATTTAAATTAACTCGGGATGCTACTAAACTTATCTATTTTGAAAATCTGTTTTTCTTTATCTTGGTCTAATTATCGGTTTAGACATAAAGAAAACAAATATATATAATCTAATCAAACTAGCATGTAACTCAACTAGACCTGTCTAGAGATCCGATAAAATCTTAAAACTGACATGCAAGTTTGATACTGAAAATAAAGTCAGCGGAAATGTAAATCGTGGCAAAAATATATACAAACTGAGTATATATAAATATCCACAAAACGGTAGACAGAGCCGAACCCACCATCACCACCACAGCAACTTATCTCACGCCTGCGGCCTGACCCGAACATGAAAAAAAAAAAACATAATAGTGGGGCGTGAGCACGAAAGTGCAAAATGCTCCGCAGAAACCCATACTAAAGCAAACAACAATAATAATAAGAATATCATGATCGTCAGTATATATAAACTGAAACTGAAACTGTACTGTAACTCAATCTCCCAGCAATTTGAAAACTAGGCCGGTAACCATGTGCACACTCTAGTGGAATATTAAGGCAACTAGCGGCCACCACCAGAACATAGGGGAAAAACTCATGGCAACTAGCGGCCACCACCCTAAGCGGATAAACTTAATATATATACATACCTCGAACATGATATCAGATATTATACTCAATGTAATACCCAGTCTGGGATCCCACCTGTACTTTTGAAAATGAAAATGGCAGTGCTGAACTTGAAAACTGTCTCGTCAAACTGTATAAAATATAAGCAATTAATATACTAAGTACTATGCTCAGAATACTTAATAAAATGCTAAGATGCTCTGTTTTTTATTTCTAACTTATCTGGATTAATTAGAACGCTCTAAGGGTTCATATTAAAATTATAGTAAGTCTGGAACTTATTGTTATAACTCAATCTGACTAATTTTTGGCTCGGAAAAATATTAAAAATCGGGAAAATATCTTGGACTGCTCATACGAGTAAAAAATATCTCTGACTGGACCGGACTGACAGAACCGGTCCTACATTGGCCCATCGGTTCACCGGGAACCGGGCGGACACTACGGACCCGAGCTGCCGTGGCTCGGTCCCGTGTCGGGCCTGCTGGTGCCCTAGCACGGTGCTGGACTCGCGCTGGTGCAAGTCTGGGCGCGGCCAGGCACAGCTGGCACGGTTCAGTGCAGCCGGGCGCGGGTATTGGCCCTACAGGCACGAACAGACGCGGGCAGACACGGACAGGGCTTACCCGGGCGCTGCAGGGCGCTGCCTGCGCGCGCTGGGCGCTACTGGCGCAGGGACTGTGCGCGCGGACGCTGACTGACCCGGGCCTGGGCACTACGCGCGCTGTGTGCGCTGCCAGCAACCACGGCCGGACCTTACCGGCCGTCCGGTGACTTTTCTCGGGACACATGACTCAAACTAACATTTTTCAATGAAATAAGCTCAAAAATGCAAAGAAACCCTGATAGACCTCGGTTAGATTTTGACGTGGTCCGATAGGGCCTATTTAGCATATATGACACCAAAACCACCGAACAAACATCATCAACTTCAAAACTTACTCAGGGCCGAATCATTAGCTATATAAATCATGCCTTTTGAAGCTAAAATACTAACTTTTACTCGGGTAAGACTAATGGTGACTTGGATGTGCAAATAAGCTAAAATTCGACTCATGGATGACCGAGTACATAAACTCCAATTAATTTAATCTATTACCAACATCAAAGTTATGATTTACAAAGATTATTCAGCTATCCATTTCGTCTAAACCACACTTGAAACTAAAAATCCATATTTAAGCCTTAATTATTCAAAAATTCAAAACTCCTATTTAAACCTAAGTTTAATCGAGTTTCTATGCATGATAATTCTTAATATATCATAAGAAAGCTATAAAATTAGATGTCACGAGCTAACCTTAAAGGAACTCGAAAAAGTGCGCTAGGGCTTTATCTCGTGCCAATTTCGAACCTTCACGAACTCGGTTGCTATTTTTCGGTTTTTCTCCTAACCACTAAGTGTTTGCTCCATTTTTAAGGTGAATGACTTAATTTCCATCTGATTTCGAAGTCATATGGTCGTGGCTAAGGAGGTGGAAGGTAAATAATGCCTTAGGAAAATTGTGGTGAAAACATGTGGCCATATTTTGACTTAGTCATGGCCTTAGGTGTACTTCCCTCAATTTTTCCAAGACTTCTTGGTATTTTAGTCACTTTGACCATGATTTATACTCATTTGGGCCGAATGAAGCACTTTGGTTTGGGTAAAAGTTGGGCTGGCGCGAGCTGGGACGAACTGGGCCTGCTGCCCAAGCGCTGGGCCCTGGACGCGGGTACTGGGCTGCCCTGGGTGCGCGGATTGGCTTGGACTGGGCGCTGGGCTGCGCGGGCTGGCCTGTGCACACGAGCGGGGCGCGAGAAAAACCTTGGGCCAAGCAAATGAAATCCTAAGGCTTATATGACTTGACATATGATCTTAACTTAATGAATAACACTTAGAAAAATATTTAGGATGGTGCTATAAGGGTAGGATAAACTTAAGTAAGGCTCGGAACTACTAGGGCTCGGAAAATGCTCGTGCACGGTACTAGGGCTAGGCGCGAGTTGATAAGCGCGAGTGCACATGATCGAACATATTCGATTCCGATCGAGACTAAACTTCGACGATTATCTCGTCGACTTAAAATATTAATCCCGGCTATTAATATTCGTTTATAAAAATAAACAGTTCGGAATTAATTACTGAAATTAACTCAGTTACTGAATAAAATTAAAATCGAATCGCTTTCCGACTTAAAGTCGAACTTATAACTAAATGACTTTATAACTTGGCTCGAGAAATAAAAACGAGCGTTATTAATAAAAATAAAAATCATTCGAACTCGGAACTAAGAATATTACGTTTATTAACAAAAGAACGGGATATTACAGCCACTCTCGCCGGTGATTGTTCCCTCCGACCACGAACAACAACCACACCGATTACTCCCCACCACATAATCTCCTTCGAGCTCGACTCCATCATTCCTCAGAGCCTACTCAGCACCCCCACTTCCGATAATCAAGGCTTTTGCTTTCATATCAGTGAATTTGAATTGTGTGGTTGTCTTGTGAGTTATTGTGGTTGAAGTTGAAGATATATTGGGTTTCACCATTGTTGCTTTCACCTGAGCACTCTACCTCAAACTCTTACCCACAAGGTGTTTATCGAATTGCCCAAGAGATAGTGCCATGGGTAAAAAGTTGGGACGTTAAATGAATACCGATCAAGGCGGCCCCTCTAATCACGGGAAACGGAAATTGGCCCAATTCTCGGGCCAAGGGATCCGCGATGCCCCTCAAGGAAGTGATCGGATGGACCTTCGACAATAATACGGTGCTTCGTTCCCTATTTACTCAAGGAAGGAAGGCGAAATCTATTCGCGTCTTTCAAAAAAGAAGTTAGTTCGGCCAAAGGCGATTGACTGGGACATTTTGAGGAGCCAGGGAATCATTAGTGATGTTAAGAAGTACCTGGGGGGTACTAAACCTTCTCAACTATGCCCAGATCGAAGAACCTTCGTATTGAAGCCTTGTGCTCGAGTTCTTTAGCACGTTTGTGCTTGCCGATGGTAATGAGTATTTCACTTGCCAGATGCGGAGGCAAAATGTGAAGGTGGACAATGACGTGATGAAGAAGGTCTTTGGGTTTAACTTAGTCGGCAAGCGAAGCAAACCGGCGGACTTTAACGCCAAGAAGACTTGGACAGAGCTTTCTCTTCATACATCTTGGGACTCACGCGGCATGCTGAACGGGCTCATTCAAGACTTAGGCACAGCCGTTGTACACAGATTCATAGGCTATAACATCACCGGGAAAAAGGAGGCGAACAAGACTCTCTGCATGAGATTGCACTTGGTTAACGTGGCATCCCGGCTCTCGGGCATGTTGTTACGACATTGGCCAAACACTTCGGAATCCCTAATCAACCCGTCTTTATCGACGCGACATGGTCGGTGGAGGGAGAGCCAATGCGGTGCATTAATGAACATGAGCTTCGGCAGACCGACCTCATTCAGAACCGCACCACCCCTCGGGAGTATACGAAGCGTAAGGCCTACGACACCTATTTCAACAAACTCGAGGGAATTGGTGCCTAACATTGATCAATCCGGGACATCCCGCCAATCGTTTGACGACGACGAGCATGAACCGATGAATATGGATGACGACCACCTTCTCCCACCACCACCCAACCAGGAACCATCCCCGCACCACCAAATCGAGGGCCCACCACAGGACGTATCAAAACCAATGGACCTCTTTCCAGAACCAGTATGCATCCGACATCCAAGCCATTCATACCCAATTTGATGCCCAAGATAGTAGGTGGACCAGCCTGGAGAGCCGACAGAACACTCAGTGGGCCAGTTGGGAGACACAACAAACGACTCAGTGGAATCATTGGGAGACCCAGCAGCAGACCAGTGGACTAACATGGGCTCCCACTTCGATGGCTTCACTGACGGCCTCCAGTCTATTCGCGAGCGCCAGGATCAGCAAGACGCTCGCATGGACTGTTGGGACCAGCGATTCACCTAGTGGGACACCTATTGGGGTTCGGGATCGAGTACCCCCTATCCTCCACAGCCACCACCATCGGGTCACTGTGCTTTGTACGTTTTTCTTTCCATTTCTCTTTCCTTTTGTACAGTTTGTTCTATTTTCGAGTCGATTGATTGTGTGGTTTAACTTTTCTTCACTTCGGATAGACAATGGACAATGAGGACATTGTCGAATTCTAAGTGTGGGGGGGGGTTTGCGTGTTTACGTGACTATGTGGTTGATCAGGCTTAGTTTTTCTTTTTAGGATTGTTTTTGTTTATTTTCTTTTTAGGAGTATATGTTGTGTCCTTCTGAGTTTGGACTGTGGTGAATTGTTGGAGTAGTCAATAACGGTTGATTGAGTTAAAAAGTTGTGATGATGTTAATAAGTGATATATCTCGATTAAATGCTTGGTTGTTTTGTTGGATATTTATTTGACCTTGTGAGGTTTGAGCCATGTTCGTTTCTTTTCTTGTGTGATATTGGTCGAAATCATTGTCAATAGGATTTGCCTTGAGTCTACTTTGAAATAAATAAATCGAATTTGTACGATGTGAATATGATTGAGGCATTCTTTGTATTACCCTTATTTTTGTGAAAATAAATCCGCTAGTCATCCCCTTTGAGCCGTATTGATTCTTTCTTAAAATACCCCGTGATGATGATATTTGGAGTTGCGAATGGTATTGTAGAGATTGGAAGGTGACTAGTATCGGTGTTGTTTATATTGATATTATATAAAAGAAAAAAAAAAGAAAAACCGAAATGAAACCAAAGGAAAATGAATAACCTAAGGTTGTCATTTGTATATATATATATATATAAAGAGAGAGAGAGAGAGATTGTGAATAATGAGGATAGCGTATTGGTTTTGAAGATATGGGAGGAAACGGTGGATGTTGACAACCGGAAAAGTTTATTCTCATGGTTAGGTAAATGAACGAAGTAAATTCAATTTTTAGCCTATATTTATCCTACCCGGTCCAAAGAGCCTAAGCTACATCCCTAAAAAGTCCTCTTGATTCACTATTGCATGAATTTGATTGTTTTAGAGTAATAGTTAAATGATAGGCAAATTTATGATTAACTCGATTGATGACCAATGTGACCGTTCCCTGTTCATATTTGTGAAAAGAAATGGAGTGAGGCACATATGAGATACTTTTACATTTGAGAGTCTTTCAAAATAGCCAAGTTAATAGTCGAGGTTCTGTGGTGGTTTCGAGCGGCGCGTGAGTTATCGGGTGTCGTGGGACTCCGGCTGCTGCGTTGTATCATGTTGTGGCGGTCGGGGTTGAGAGATCGAACCGCCCTCCTCTGTACGGCTAGTGGTGTTAGGCGGCAGGGGTTCCGGTTCTCTTGATCTCGGCTAGTGGTGTTAGACGGGTTCGGGTGGGCTGGTGTTTGGGCTGGTTGTGTCTCTCTCGGTTGAAGATGGGTTGATTCGGGAATTGGTTCGGGGCTCGGGTTCGACTACTATATAGGCGACATTGCAGTTTCGGTAGTGGTTTCTTGAGCTCGGTATCTTTCTTGGGTCGATCGCTTACTGCTAGTTGGGCCTGCTAGTTTGCCGGGGAAGGGCTATAATGTTATTGTAGTATTTATGTTGTTCTTGTTTTGTATTTCCTGTGATTGGGTCTAGTTGTGTCCGTGTTGTTTTTGTGTTTTTGGTCTGGGTCACTTGGCCCCTGTGCAAGGGATTACTCCGTTGGAGTCGTTCCACATTACCTCGTTGGGGGTCGTTCCACATTACCTCGTTGGGGGTCGTTCCGCAGTTAGGTTGTTGGTGTTGTGTTATTGTGAGTTTCTTTTCTAGCGTTGCTAGTCGTCTCTAGGCGGTCTTTTAGACCTGTCCTCCCAGTTTTATTCAGTTGTTGGCTGTATTATTCAGCCATGGGCTGTGTACTTTGCACATTTGTGCGTTTTTGTTATATAATATTTTCTATCGTTTCGTAAAAAAAAAAAAAAAATAGTCGAGGTATGTTCTTGTGATCATTTGAAATCTTATTGACTTAATTGATTAGTTTGAGATTAGTCTCGCTTGAAACCATTGTCTTTACTCATTTATGTGGAGGAGTTGTTTGTCCCATTTTTGTCGTATTTTTCGTGCTTGTTTTTCTTTTCTTTTCCCCTATTTTAGGTAGTTTCTTTCATTTTTTAGTTCGTTTAGTGTTTGGTTATGTGTTTTCTTCCTATTTGAGTCTTTTTGAGTATTTCGTGTATTTTTCTGTTTTCTGTTTCGTGTTTTGCCGTTTATGGTGATAGGTTGGAAGTTCGGGAGAGTATTCTTTTCAGAGAAAACTGGTTTGAGAGCACAAATAAATAAAGGGGTTCGTAAGCGACACGTAGCAAAAACGGAATGCAATTTCGAGTCCGAACGAGCGTGCACGAGCCCGAGAACCGCGTCATCGAAATTCCTTCACTACAGGCCGCGAGGTGAGTAGCGGGCCGCGAGCTGGGTCGCGAGCTGTGAGTTGGACCGCGAGACGCAAGGATTCTTCTGCTCTCAGAAGTTGCGGCCGCGGAGCTGTTCTTCGCCGCGGGCCGCGGGATCCTCCGCGGGCTGCGGAACCTGTGAGTTACAGAATATGTGGCTTTTTCCACTAGTGGGAGCAAGGGTCGGTTTTTGGTGTATTTTGGAAGACTAATTGGAGACATTGTGTACCTTGGATTAAGTTTGCATTTGCTCTTGGATTTCACATTATTAGTAAGTTATTTCTTTCATCTTGTTTATGTTGAGAATGGTTTATTTTTATGTGAATGTCTATGTTGAGATTATTATGAACAACTAATCCTCTAGCTAGGGTTAGAGGATAATCGTTTCGGTTCGTTATTGTTTATGTGTATGTCAATTACTCAATCTTTGCGAGTCTTATTAATCTTATGATTGAATGCTTGATCACCATTTTAATCTATACAATCGATTTCAAAACTTAGAGGGGCAAACTTGGTAGAACTTGGCTCGTTTAGAGTAGACATGTTCGGAAACGTATTATCTATGTGTTGATTGTCTCGTTAAGATACTCTTTTATGTTTTTCCGCATATTACGAGAGTTAGTGAGGTTAAATCACTAAATGAGTTAGTTAATCTAGCATTTTAACCGAGTTATTGATTGCCATCAAATTCATGTAAAACCGAGTACGATTGTCCCCGATACTGTAATATCCCATTCAGTAATTAATAAAAGTAATTATTCTAAGTATGAACTAATTACTTTTATTAATGCTCGTTCCTAGTTCTGAGCCAGTTATTAAGTTATTCAATTAAAAATTCGACTTTAAGTTGAAGTATTCTCGGTTCAATATTATTCAGTAATCGAGCCAGTTCAGTAATTAATTAATTCCGGACTGTTTATTTTTATAAATGGATTTATAAGACGGGATTAATTAATATAAGATGATGAATAATCGAAATTGAGTATATTTTGATTAATCGTTTAAGATAAGTAGTGAACTGAACCCAAGTATGTTCGGTCATGAGTTGAACTTAATTAGGAAACAGCCGAGCCTTAGTACTAAATACTTAGAATTTTTCTAAGTGTTTAAGTCATCAAGATAAGATCATAATATTAAGTCTTAGCATAAGTTGATACAAGTTAAGTCTCGAAGTGTGGTTAAGTATCCATGAACATTTAAGTGATAAATGTTCAAAGAAGTGAGAAAATTTATTTAGACATTATAGTCTATTTAAATTATTTTAAGAAAAACCGAAATTTTTAGAATTTTCGGTTTTACGGTAATCGTTCGGTTTAAGTCCGAATGTGGTTCCGTAAATGTAGAATATTTCAAGGTAATTATATTAGATCCTAAGAACAATATGTTCATTAAATTGAAGAAAAACTGTGAGTAAAGAATTTTTTTTTTTT